GTGTCCATTGGGTCCTGGAGTCTGACCACCTAATGTAACATTTATTTATTCTAAGGGTTGTGGGAGTATGGAAGAAGCTACAAAGCCACATCATTGTACATTGGTACTCTGGCTTTGATGAAAATGTAATCAGAGTTAAGTTAATCTATCAAGAAGCCACTGGTTAAGATCCTCAGATCAATTAACTGCTAACTACAAAACAAGTTAGAGGGGCTGTAATGCCTCCTCTCATATGCACATATGACTTTATACAGTACCAGTATGATTGGTGACAAAAGGTAAATGATGGTAAAAGAACATCTAACAAAGACAATTGTAAACTACTTTAAGTGTTCTAACACCATGTTATACACATTTCTAACTTTTCACTAACCGGGCTTCAAACTGAAATCTGCTTGCTTTGGGTGTTCATTTTATTGAAAATGAAAAATTAACATTTTCAATGCAATTCACTTCAGAATATAAGTACACATATCATGCGATTAAATATTAAGTGTTTAAAGACAAATTTATACAGTTGAAAGCACAGATAATCATGAAAAACCGGGTTTCAAGGAGGTGTCCTCAAACCTTTGACTGGTACTGTATAGTATGTGAATATCTTTTTGCCCTCACAGTCTTCAGGTAAAGGTCTGCCTAGGAGATGCTGACTCCTCAGTTCAGGCAACCACAAGATCCGCTTCTCATCCCTCTCCCCATCCTTCATGTCCTCGCAGCTCCCCACCTCTCCTCCTTCACTGCCCGAGCCCAGCCGCTCCCCCAGCCCGCTCGCGCTCCTGTCCACCCTCTCGGACCCCCTGCACCAGCGAGCGCCCGGCCTCCGCAGGAGCCAGTCGGCCGAGCACCCCGCTGTCCTCTCCCGCTCACCGGGCCACCGGAAGCTGCCCGCTGTCCCGGGGGGTGCCAGGTACCCCTCTGTCATACGCATCTCCCGCGCCCAGCTCCAGCAGGTGACTATCTGCCCTCCCTGGCACACCCTCATCACCTTCGTCTTGGTTGGGTTCACTCTTTCCTTGCTTCATGTTTATTTATTTTTTTGGACAATTTTTGCAGCTCATCAGTCTGTGAGGGAGCCCATGTGGGCTCTGGATGCACAACCAATCACATGATAGGCAGACACATGACAGATTCAGGTTCCTTTCCTTTGCTGATCCAATGGTTGAACTCTTCCCAAGGTGCTTTGTCTTGTTGAAGCACAGAGGCACAAGCCATGTGTGCTATTTTGTAAAGGTTTTCATCCTCTGAACCTTCTGCTTGTACAGTAAAAGTGTTCCTCGGTTTTGATTTTTCAGACAGTGTTGGGTGTCTTTTACCTCTTACCAGAGGAACAGTTTCATCAACAGGTAGGGGACCACACTGGCGACCCATCATCACAAAAGGGAAGGAAAAAATAGTTGTTCTTGCAGTATGGCTCAAAGGTTACTGCAGAGGGGCACACCACAGTCCCCATTCTTATATTTCACCATATTTATTCATGTAACGATAAAGGGATTTAAAGCGACAACCGATTAGTGTTAGAGCTTCAATTCGTGTCTGTCATTTCTGGTGCTGGCTTAAGAATGTCACATTTTTGTAAAGAAAATGTCATTGTATTTGGACTTCAAGTCACATTGGTTCTGTTGAGGAACTCTTGCAGAAGCAAATGTTTCTGGCATTTTTCAGTGCATGCTTTTTTATGCTTGACCCACCGTTCAAAACAAAATACCCATGAAGGCTGGGAGTCATTGCATCTGGTGGGTTCCCTGGTTTCTCTGCCTTTTGTGATTGTCTAACTCCTGTAGATTTTGAAAGTAATTTTGGAGCAGTGTTAGTACTGGAAACTGCTTTGCATTTGCAACTTGCAAGCCTTGTTCAGTTATTGAGAAATACGTTCTCCGGTGTTTTCTTGTACTTAATTTTCTTGTACTAAATATTCACAGCTCTCTTATAGGATTGTGGTTCTGCTTGCTTTATAATATCCTAGATACAGTGGCAATTCCATTTAACTGTCAGGCATTGTTTTAGTTAGGTCATTAAGAGCTCAAGATGGAACAAAGATACAGTAGAAGCCTATAACTAGGAGTGAGTATCCCTGATTTTGTTTTATGTAGAAATCTCAGAGAGGATGTAAAATGTGACACCATGAGAAAACGTGAGAAGGGTATAGGTGAGGGATGTATTAGGCCGAAGGAGCTAAGAAATTTCTGGAAAGCAGCCCCACATTTTGTCATAGTGTGTATCAGTAAAAGTTTTGATGGTATATTTTGATCATTCAATATTAAAAAATAAAGATGATCGAAGAAACCTCATTGATTGTCATGGACAGAAAAAGCCACACAAATCCTTGAAGAAGCAGCAGCCCAGTAAGTCCTGTTAATGTACTCGAACAATCTTGCCGTCCCTTTTTTGAAAGGTAAATACGAAGGGCATGGTGCCCCTGTCTCTTCCATGCTGACGCGGGCATTTTTTTATTTCCTGTCTCCTGAAGCTCACCGCCCCTCGGCCCTCAGTGTTGTCCTCCCAGTCTGCCTCGGACAGTGTGCCACAGTGCCTCCTGGTGGAGAGACGGGAGGGAGACTGCCAGCCCATGGACACCACTGCTGACATGCACTCTCCCCAGGACCGCCACGGGGACCTGTGCATCGCAGGGTATGCGGAGCGACAGCCTGATGAGAAGCCTCTTCCCGCAACTCCCAGGCCTGCAGACTCCGTTTTCGAGGAACCTGAGAAAAAGGCTCCCAGCCCAGTGCCATGCCAGGTCTTGGCTCACCATTCGCCCAGCCCTCCGCGGAGTCCAGTGATCGCCAATGGCAACCTGTCCCCGCCGGTGAATGGCCCGGGCTGCATGGGTGCCTTCCCTGAGCTCAAGGACATGGAGAGCGATTCTGGATATCCCGATGGATCCACAGAGACCCATGCCCAGCGAGCGGAGGAAGGAGAGAGGGGTATGTTTCCTGCCGGGACTGCTGGCACAGGCCCGGCGCCCCCCCGCAGAGATCCCGCCCGCAGGCTCAGCCGGATTCCCGTGCTGGAGCCCGGCCTCTCCGAGTGCCCCCCGCCCGGCTCGGCGAAAGAGAAGCTGCTGCAGAAGAAGGCGCATCACTCCGAACCCGGGCGCCCCGCCTCCGAACGGCGTCCGGCGTCCAACCTGCGCGGGGAGGTGTCCTCCGCGTCCGACCGCTCGCAGGAGGACGAGTCCTGCCTGGTCTCCCGCTCAGACCGGCAAGGCGAGGATCCTCTCTCCCTCTCCTCCTCCTCCGGTCCTTTGTCCCGCAAGAGCAAGATCCCCCGGCCAGTTCCCGTCCCGGCCTCCGAGCCGCTGTCCGGACAGTTCGTGCCGCATCCTCCTCCGGGAAAGCCTCCCAGCCGGTCCGCAGTGGACAGCAGGTGAGAGCCGGAATGTCGTTCAGGCGGTGTCGTATCCTCCCTCTGTTATTCCTGTACAGTCCTCTACAGGCGAAGGAGAATGTGACTAGAGAGGTCCTCATTTGTATTTAGCATTCATCTTTTGCAAGTTAAATTCATCTGTAATAAATTTCCTTTATGATATTTTCCAATTCGATATCTTTCGGTTGGTTGCCATTTGCTCAGGATTTAGCCGGACATACCTTTGGTTTGTTGTAGTGTAAAGCAGTTTTTGTTCTGCTGTAGCCTTCTTCTAGTCAGTAGAGCAGTTTGTCGGCTTTTGGTGTTTTTGTAGGTAGTAGCATGTGAGTTTTTATTGTTCAGATAATGTATGTCTTTAGTCTTTTCCAGGCTTAATTCTTGTAATGCAGTGCTTGCTGTTCTTTTGAAATGTATTTTTAACACATTGTTACATGCTCGGAGCTCAGCTGCAGGAATCATAACTAAAACTAAAGTACATGAAAGCAGATCACACTTTTTAATGTCCCTGACCTGGCTCCTGTAGATTTCAGAATAGTGCTATTCACCTTTATGAGCTTGAACAGTTGACAAACAAGAGGTTAGTTTGTTTGTAGTTAACTGATCTGATCTCATCCATCAGGTTCTTGAAAGACGCCAGGGTAATACTGTAGCTTGAACAACATGATTGCATAGATTCTTACATACTCCTACAATACTTCGAAGAAGTACCTCCCATTCATGGTTTTAAAGGTTTTAAATCTACTTCCGTGTGTTTCCCACTAGTGAAGTTATGCTATCTTGCACTGCTGTATGTACACAGCTGTCTCTTTCAGGTCCTTCTTGGTGCACAAGTGCATGTTTCTGATTTGCACGCGTGTTTAGTAGTTCTGCATATTTTTGGGATCTACTGGGTAATGGTAAATCCCAGCCCTTGACGCCTGTATCGGTGTTGCAGGTTGCGGCGGTACCGGATCCGGGCGAGCAGCACCAGCGATTCAGACCTGCTCTCCTGCCTGGCCCACATCATGCAGAACGGCAGCGGACCCAGGACCCGGGGCTCGGCCGCCACCCGGAGCAGCGCCAGGATCCCCGCCAGCAGCCCGTCCACCCCCCACCGCAGCACCAGCGCCTCCCCCCGGAGCTCCTCCTCCCTGCAGCGCTCCGTCAGCTCCTCCCCGTCCCGCCACGAACACCGGGGAGGCGGACTGGGGCGCAGCCGCTCGCCCCCCAGCTTCTCGGGCTCGCCCCCGCCCCGCCGGGCCTACCCCCAGGAGACCTGCTGCGGCCGGCAGGCCCGCTCCAGCTCCTTCCACTGCCCCCGGGGCAAGGGCTCCAGCCGCGAGGGCAAGTGCTCCAGCAAGCTCAGCAGATAATGACGCAGCACGGACCGAGCCCCGGGTTCGATTCCCAGGCCCCGCTCGATCGCCCCACACAGGGCGCTGGCGCATTTCTGCTCCACTCTCTTTTCGCATTTAAAATGCGATACGCACTGTGCCCGTCTCCCACCCCCTCATTCCTGCTCTTCTCTCCTTGCACGGCTTCTCCAAAACTTCCAAGAGGTCCGAAGGCGTCCTCGCCGGACGCTTCGCTAAATACAGGCCTGGGAGAAAAAAAAACACAGCCTAAGGAATAGGGAGTGGGCCTTGTGGAAGAAAGCAGAAGTCCCAGCTTTCCTGTTTCAGTAATGAATTGCGGCACGCTGTACAGTTACCATTGGAGTACACAGTGCAGAAGCAATAAAATCGGTTTGGAAATCAAAGAGAAAAGCAGGAATGAGATTGGGAGAAAGGAATCACCCCTTTCATGCTTAAGGAACAAGAATTATGAAGGAACCAAAATATCAGAATGTTGTTCTACGATACAGCTACTGAAACATGGAAAACACTAACTGGGCAGTTAATATTATGTCTTTTTTTCCTGTCCAATTTCCAGAATGGAGGTAGGCTGGGTTCTGAACACTTAGGCTTACAGTGTGGAGACTGATCGTACCAATATCCTCAAAAAAGGTCATGTAGGGCTGATTTGCTGTTTTGACATCATGTCTGCCATCAATGCACGGTCATCCGTGGCCATTTAAAATTGTGTTTATTGCCAAGCCAGAATACCAGTCTCTATGTGTTAGTGAGCTGACCTCAACAACAGTCCTGTTCAGGCACTTCAGACCCAAAGCTGTAGTACTTCCAAACCTGAATATTAAATTATTTTGCTCAGCATCTAAGATACACACATAAACTATATCCCATCAGCACTGTCTCAGCTCATGATTATAACAGGCTGATGAACATCCAGTGTAGTCTGTCTCATTCCTGCTTTGCACAGAGGATAATGAAATGCCAGATGCTGTCACAGACAACACTTAATCCTGTATTTATATTTGTAGAGCTGTGCTTTGGGAGGAAAAGCAGCTTGCTGTCTTCCCAGATGTCCAACAGGGGTCAGGAGAAAGCTGAGGGGGTACAGTGTAGAGTCAGACTACCTCCTGTTCCATGTCTGAAGTCTCTTGCAACTGGGCACCCCTTATGTAGCTAATATTACATGTGCTTACAGTATTCATATTAATATATAGATGCATATGCCCAGGTATTTGCTACACATCACAAAAGTATTTCCAGTATTCCATTATGTGGGCAGATAGCTATTTATATGTATTTATCAGACATGTTCATGATGAAGACCTTAGTCTTTGTACATTTGAAAGCAGTCTATTCCTGCTTTGGTTTTTGGAGAAAATCAATCCCATGTTTAGGATGGAGGAGTCCAGTTGGCTTGAGGAAAAAAAAGGAAGATCATCCCTCTTTCATCTGTTCACTCAGTAGTTATCCATCCTTTCAAGTGTTCAGTTTTTTTCTATTACAGTGCAGTTTTCCCACAATTTAATAAAGAAGTGGGGAAACAGATCTGCTCCTCAATCTTGAAGAAAATAAAAGTAAAACGAAGGGGGTGTAGAACTGAAATTGCCCTGCTGCTTCAAAAATAGGAACAAATCTGTGGTGACATGCGTTGCACTTTAACATTAAATAGCACTCTGCTAGCACTTAGAATAGAGATGCCTGCCTCCATCCTGTGAAAAGACTCCTTTAATTGAAAGCATTCTCATTGTCAAACTGTGTCTGTACTGCAATTATCTGACCCTAAGAGAAAGGTATGCTGCTAGTTATCTTGGAGAATATTCTTTTTTTCTGGGAAAGATAAGACCTTAAAAACCCTCTCTCTCCCACATGTCTTTTCAGCCTTTCTTCTAACATAAGTAATGGGTTAGAAATCACATGCCTGCATTTTGGTCTGTGTTGAAATAATTTGTGCAATACATGACTTTAGAGCTTTGCCAGATTTTGGCAACAAAAGTAAAGAACTAATAAGCACACTGAAGACTGCATTTTATAACTAAACAGAGCCTGTTTAAAAGCAGATATGCTAAAAGATCCTAGTTTGGTGCCTTTTTGAAGGTACAAATGATAAACATTGCACTTAATTACCACACACTACATTAACCCCATCCAATGCAGTCTTCACTGTGAGAGATAGTAGTATGAAAATGCCCATTTCAATCTGTGGATTTTCCGAATAGATATTCTGAATTTAAGGTGGGGTAGTTTGACAGTTTACATTTTGTTCATCTGAAAATAATAGCTGGGCATTCCAGCATTCTGAACACTCCAGAAGTTTGATTAAGCAGGACATTACTTTGCAAGTACTGACACACTTCAACCATAATTTGTTTTTATTTCTTTTGAATTTGTAAGATACTGTACTATAGGATCTAATAAATAATATTTGCATGCACAACAAGACGTAACTAATGTATAATTATTCATAGGTTTGCCATTTTCAGAAGACTGGACTCTAAGAAGGAATAAGCTATAGATGTACCGTATTGTTTCTGTTTGGATCCCAGTCCATGTGAGCGCCCTGAGGTCAGAGTGTCCTTGACAGCTCCCCTTCTGTCAGAGTGGCCTTAGCAGTTCCATATGAAACACTTACCAGCTGGGCTTGAAAGTTCAGCTCTTGGCTGGGGGAAAGTACCATGCTCCTCCTGTCTGCTGATACATCTTCATCATGTTGTTGTATCTAACTGCAGTAGATAATCTGTAATTTGTAAATAAAATTGTCACTCAAATTAATGCATTGATTAATCACTGGCAGGCAAAAGATTTGTTTGAGAAGATTGAGGAATTTCCTCCTCAATCCTCTGGTCAGAATGACTCTAGATCTCAGTCCTGTTGAAAATATAGATGAGAAATGAGGTTCAGGTTTATAAGCCCCTCCTCATTTGGAGACCGTTCTGCTAGAAAATGTGGCTGGGCTTGGGCTGAACCTGGCAGAATTCACAAAAAATGCTCCTATTCCTGGTGTTCTTGCTGCCGAATAGATTTTTCCTATTCTGACAAACGCCTGTGTTGTGCATACACTGCTACAGTGTGAGAAACAATCACATTTTTTCCATTTAAAAAGAACCCAAATTCATTTCCACATTTGAAGGAAAATAGCATTTGCTGTAAGTGTTTCTCATACTGTATATCAAACATCAATACTTTAAATCGTCTTACGATCAGTCCCTGTTTTCTGCTTTCTTATGTTTTCTGACATTGAGCTTTCTTCAAAATAGGGCTCTTGTGTCCTTTCAGAACAACATGATCATTGGTGTAGTTATTCTAAATACCCATTTTACTCAGTCTGCAGTGTCCTTACTTTTTTCCATTTTTTTAACTGAAATCAGGAACCCCTGTGTCTGTTAATTTTTATTAGACTTTGAATGTGAGGACCCCTCACTGCATGACTACATAATCACACCTTCCAGTGAATCTGTTTTACTGTAGATGATAAAGTTTTGGATTTTCAAGACTGAATATAGCAAGACCTTCAGTAACATAGTAAAAGAGATGTGATAACTGTATAAAACCATCTCTTAGATCATTGAACAGGTACTGGCTGTACCAAAATTACACATTACATCCAGTCCCAGCAGTGTTTTAACACAATCTGAATGTGATTGTTTGCTCCACACACAGATGTCATTTGTAAAATCTGGAAATAGACTCAAGTATGGTAGTGTTCAGGACTTGCTAACATGATAGAAACTTTTTTAAACAATCTGTTTACTGAGCTATGGACACTTTTCCTGTATGTCAGTCTGTCTAAAGGTATACTGTTTGTTTGCTAATATGAAACATGCTCACTTCTTCAGCTCAGCATATGTGATTGCTTCCCTCAAGACTATGAAATTCCACTAAGCAAACATAACCTATTTATGGCCAGCTTGAGTAGCTCTGCCTTGTTCGAAGACGTTTAGCTCTGCTGAAAGTATACAGTGGCTGATTCAAAACAGGGCTTCCTCAGTGTTAAGAAAAACGTTACACTACAAATTAGTGTTATCCTGAAGTGTTACCCTTTTTACTTTAAGTAAAGTTTACTTTTTCTAAGAAATGTGTCCTTCGAATACCTAGAACATCCTTGTTTACTGTATTTTATTAATAGAAATATTCTACTTGTTCAACTTTGTTTTAAATGAGCAACTACTACTAGGACATTTATTTATCCAGACAGATCAGATTGTACCATTTCTCACGGTCAAATAAATCAGTTCAAATAACTGAGACAAAGCTGCTTTTTACCTGTAAGAAATATTGTGAATACATCGGAAGTAAAAACGTGGAGATAAATCAAGTGACTTAAAGCCTTTCAGTCTTAAACTTCATTTACAGTTTATAAGATTGCTAGAGCCATAGACTAAAGCATGCCTGAGGACCTTTACTGATTGTCCCGATGAATCTCAACAAAGGAGGCTGAAGTTACTTTCTTGCATGTAATAAAGTACCTAGCAAAGTAAGAACTTTGACTATTAAAATGCGACTTCAGCAGAGACATTTGCATTCCTGGTTCATGTTATGTCCACTGCATCAAGCAGATAAGTAAAAACTCTAACTTGCAATTACAATTTATGTGCTGGTTTATCCCTACAATAAAGAAGAGACACTTAGCCAGTATCTCAGGAGAAAAAGATCATTCATTTTTTGTTAGGGTAGACTCATTACAAAACCCCAGAAATCTTTCCATTACTTTGAATAATTGGGGAAAAATAGAAGAATCTTTTAATGACTGTATATAAACACTCACAATTGCGGACTGTAGACTTATTTTTACAACAAAAGAGTTCTGTTTTGCTATGGTATCATTTAGTGGCATTGCTGTGGAGGCCAGCTTGTGGGGAGGATCTTTGAATTTTGTATGCTTGTAGTTGAAGAATTTATTTACCACAAAGTGCATTTGCGTTCCTGAGCAAATGCTGATCTTGTAGTATGAGAATGTGTTTTTGATCAGCAACTTGCCCAGTAATTGCAGTCGACATCCTAGTTAAAGATCTACATAATGATCAGCTAGTCCATGAATCAGAAAATAGTCTTTGTCTCACTGTGAGCTTTCTTATTTTACTAGCAAGGTCTGAATGTGATACTCCATTTTGATATTTGCACTTGCCTGCACATTTAAAATATGTTCTCATAAGTTGCACCTTGATTTGAGTTAACGGTCATTGTTGGAAAAGTAATGTACAGTAATCTAGTCACGCAGGAATTCTGTCATTGTTAAAATAGCCTGATTGGTATTTGAGCTAAAGGTCTCTATAATTATTTCTGAGATATAGCCCTGGCAAAAGTCTGAAAAAGTTAAGTACTTTACTAACCCTTCATAGGATGGATGGAGATTTTAAAATATTTTAGCACCCTTAAAACACAGTTACAGCAGTTTTTTAGCACCACCATGGCCTCCTAATAATCCCCCTCTATGAATTGGCTACATTACTCTGCTCTCCTCCCCACTGATAGCTGATGTGTGGTGAGCGTTCTGGCGCACTATGGCTGCCGTCGCATCATCCAGGTGGATGCTGCACATTGGTGGTGGTGGAGGGGAGTCCCCATTACCTGTAAAGCGCTTTGAGTGGAGTGTCCAGAAAAAGCGCTATATAAGTGTAAGCAATTATTATTATTATTATTATTATTATTAATAATATTATTATTACTTCTCCTGCAGGACTGCTGGAGAAAAAAGTGTGTGGCTTGTGTGGAGTTCCAATGCACATACAGAACAGTAGTTCAAAAGCAAACGTCCAGAGTAACATTGTTCCTCTGCATTTATACCAGTAACTGTACATGACTAACGGAGTGTACTGTGGATTCAACTTTTTCCTTCAGTATACTGTAGACCTACAGTTTGATCTATTCCTGCTTTGTTTTTGAAACGAGGGGGAATTGGGGGCATATCTGTCCCTCCTCTGAAACAGCATCATTTTAATTAACACATTCAAAAGTCAGCTTACCTAACAAGTAGTTGCTCAGAAAATTTAATATATACTGTAAAAAAAGTCTGTATTTATAAAATCAGTAATATAGAATGGTGAAAAAAGCAAATGAAACTTTTCTGCTCTTTATGTAAAACCTCAGTTCTGTTCAGGTTTCTGGTTTCAGTTTCTGCCATATGTATTTGTCCCTAACAAGCTAATGTTTTTTTTTTTGTTTCCTTCTCATGCTCTTTTTATAACATGTTTTTTTTAGTGAACATCTTTACTAAAATCGATGTTTATTTTTTAAATGCCAAGTCTCATTAACCAGTGAATTTCTTTGCTTAGTGATGCTAAAAATCAGTTTGTCATAGTCTATGCTCTTTCACTGCACGTGCATTGGTCTCTGATTTTGCCTTTCAGTTCTGTATAAACCGATCAGGCACAGAAATGGACACTGTTTTTTTTTACAGTTGAAAAGGTCATCTTTTCATGCACGCCATTGGGCTAGACTATTGAATCCCCAATGAACTATGAAGAATGAAAAGATCCCATCTTCTGATGGAGTCTTAAAAATAGTCTGAAACTATTTGTGCATATGCTGCTATGTTTTCTTTTAAGGCTATCCCTGAGTGCGTTTCATCTCTCTTACATTCTGTTATTCCTTCTCCAATCCAATATATCCCTGCTCTGTTTACGCTAAAACATGGAAAAATCCTGAAAACTCTGACCTGTACATTTCCCTGCCACTGGCTGTATTTCTTTTGCAGTGCTTTATTTAGTCATGTTGCAATGTTGAATTGTATAGGAAAGAATGTATCCACCGGAAGAATTGCATTGTACATACAAGCTGTAATTATTTATGTTTCTTTCATTTGTATCATATCAATGCCTTGTACAGTGTTTTATGTTTTGTTTTAAAATTATTTTGTATTTTATTTTTATAAACTGGTTATAAATAAAATATTCATTCAGCATGCAGACAAAAACAAATCTTCTCTCTCTTTGTCACTCACAAGCAATACTGACCTTTTAGCTTTAAAGGGACAGCCTGGAGCTCTTTTCTGGAATTTCAATATTAACCATATTAACTCGTAGTACTCTTTAATTGAATGAATGAAGGAAACTCAGTGTTATTATTTAGACATAAAAACAGCACTGAAACACCAAGGCCTACATACTGTACACTGTGTTTTTAAGTATGAAACATTGGTTTAAAGATATTTGTGCAAGCAAGTCAAATACTGCAGTATCTGTTTATCTGATTATGTCACTTATTTAACAATTTTTTTTAAGTTGAGAAACATGGCACAACCTTGAAACTAGGACAAAGACAACAGCCACAAAAAAAGAAAATAACCACCTATGCAATGCAAAAATCAAGTTTTCTCTTGTCCCTTCTCGACAATTTCAATTTACAAGGAACATACTGTAAGCCATTTAAATATTTTTTGAAGACTGTTGCCAATAGCGTGCTGGAATAAAACTGTCTAAGCTGTTTGATCATTTTTCATACTCTACTGTACACAATATCCAGCCAGACTACCACATCTCTATTATGATCTTAAAGACTTGAAAAAGAATAAACAACCAATGCATCCAAAGACCTTAAGGGCTAGAGCACATGACTGGGGGACCAGCTCAGCAGGAGTCAGAGCCACAGTGGTGTCTGCCTTTCATCTTGTCTGAGAAGTCAGGTTCTTCGCCTGGGTAATTACCTGATCAGCTGCCTGTGTTGTCCAAAGTCTGTTATGACTGAGGAGATACAAGCGTTAGGGATCTGCAAGACTGCACTCTCCCCACTTGCTCACAAATGCTCTACAAGTCCTGCAGGAGCTCGTGCTGGGGTGGGGAAACTGGCACTGGGTGAGCAGCCATTGAATGTGTTGGATGGGAAATTTACTGTATAAGACCCACCTCTACCTTGTTGGACGAAGCCTGTTGTCTCATGTCATTGCAGACATATCAGAGGACTTTATTCCATTTAGATGTATTGCAGTGTGCAAGTTCCTTTCAAACCTTGCCAAATAACATGCACTCATCCATCTTCTAACCCCTTCTTCCAATTCAGGGTGACAGGGTGGCCAGAGCCTATCCCGGCAAGCAGCAGGCACAAGACACATACACTCGCACCAGGGCCACTTTTCCCAGGAGCCAATTAATCTACTTGTATGTCTTTGGACTGTGGGAGGAAACCTATGGAAAGACAACATAAAAACTCCATGCAGACAGCACCCCAGGTCAAGAACTGAACCCAACCCAGGACCCAGGTGGTGCAAGACAGCAATGCTAACCACCTCATCATCATAACCACCCATAATACTGCACATCTCCAGTGTAATTTGACAGCATTTATGTTTGAGGGATATAATTTGTTTAAACATTTTCAGGCATGCACACTGTACAAACACACCCGAGACATATACAGTATGATACTTTTATTGTTTTTCAGAATAAGAAAATAAAGACCTCCACTCTTTGTAGAAAAACTTCCTAGATACAAACAGTTCTTTTTTCTTCTGCCCGGCTGATGACTTGCTGATCAATGACACGTTTGGCCAAAGTCGTACTATAACATGGGAATTGGGTTTTGGCAGATATATACACAATGCATCGGTAGTCACTGTGCTGTTTTTAAAGGTTGGAAAATTCACGGAGTTGTCCGGAATACCTTTGTTCATCTTTGTTAAAGGTCTTGCACATTTATTTATTTATGGTTGTATCCGCCGCACGGGGGAGCTGTGGAACGATGACGTACTAGGACCGAATTATTTCATGACATAAAGCTATGTAATGTTTGTTTGGGTATTGATGTGTCGTTCAGGAGTGTTTTGTGTACATTAGTAGTGAGTAATCTGTTCTTCTACGCTGCTGACAGGACACTGTGCTGTGAGGCACAGTGAGTGGATTTGCCACTTCGTGTCGTGGGGATTGAAATGCTGCGAGTCAGAACTGCAGAGCATGCATATACTGTACAATAAATTATATTTTTTTTTTCGAACCCTACGCAAGCACTTTGGACTACCACATTGTGTTATTTAACGGAAGCCTGTATTAATGCCGGTGTATACTCAAAACTATCATTAATCTGAAATATTTAGATTCTGGAAATAATGCTAAAACTGCTGAATTAACAGAAGAGGCGAAGCGTGTAACTTTCACCGCACCGCATTTAATTTCCGTGCTTAGCTGAACAAAACATCCTCGGCTAGTATCTTATAAAGCCATACAGTAAATGAAACTATTTTTTTCACTAACCGTGCACCTCTCGGCTGCGCACTGCGTGCGTCTGCAGCACCGAGGCGCGCTCCCGTCGTGCTGCGCGTGCTCAGTGCGGAATGGCGGCTGTTTTGGAATCCGTGCTGCAGAGGAAGGTGGAGGCGAGTCAGGCCGTGCGGTGGATCAGAAACGAGCAGGTCAGAAACGGTGGCCGGCGATTTAGGGGAAGAGGAGGCAGCAAACCGCTATGCGAAGATGCTGATTGCAAAGGCTATACTTGTGCTTGTGGGTTGGGATTTGCAGTATCAGCTGTAGCGAGCACTACACAGCAACATTGGGCCCGGGCATGGAAGACAAAGCAGAAGTTGTGAATGTTCACATTGCAAACAGGATGGCGCGGTTCAGCTGTGCAGGGCATGAACACCCGGACCTGGAGCCAGTCAGCACATAATGAGAATGATTGGCGGATGGCAACATGAGTATGACGCGGAGTTTTTCCGGTTGCCTTTGCCTGACACTTTTATTCTTAAGCGTGGAGAAACTTCAGTTTACCCTCTTGTCACTTGTGTAGCGGGCTTTTTTTTAAACTTAGATCTTGTTCAGAATCTTTGTAAGAGGGTTCCTTGTTTGTAATCTGCTTAGTAGCTGAAAGCCTCCACCTAAATGCTGTGTACAAGTATATTGCTGACAGGTTCAGGTTCCGTTTTTATATGCTACTGTGATGTCAGTAGAGCAGACAAAACCTGTTTTCTTGTTCTTAGAGTAAAGTGGGTCTAAATAACTGGATATATCAACATACATCTGTAACAGAAATGGTTGCAGTAAAGAGGCCATTCACCCCTTCAAGCTCAAGTGCTGGTGGTCACGGCAGCAACACCCTGTGCTGCAAAGGGTTAATCAGAGTAGCCAGGCAGCCTGAATGTCTGTCCTTGGCACCTGGAGAGAGCATGCAGACTCCTCATGGACAGGCAGCCCAGACTCAAATCTGTGTGGCAGCAGTGTTGTCCTCACTGTAGCAGGGTGACAGTTTCTGCACTTACATGTCCGACATAACACATTCGACATCCCTCAGAAACAGCCTAAATTGAAGAGTCCTCAGTGTTTGGTTCACTTCTGTAGATCCATATAATCGATATTGTGCAATGCAGATTTGTGCATTGGATTGCACAAATCATGTGTTAACCTGCAAATGATATTTTATGAAATTGTACTGCCTTGCAGCAGACATATCTCGCTATTAAGTTAGGTCAGCATATCGGTTATGCAAAATCTAGTAATAGGCATGAAACGAGAAGCACGTGGTGTTGGGAGACGATCAAAAGACGGCAGCTCACAAAAGAGAAGTGCCCCCAATGTGCTACACTATGCAAGATCACCTTTGAGGACAGGAGTCTGCCTGAGCTGTGAGTGGTCAAATGTGACTTGATAAATTCAGTAGTCTAGAAATCATTTGGAACAACAATCAGTATGCTCTGTATATCATTAAATACAGATGGTTTATAGTCACCTGTAAGACTGGCAATCACTGGGATCCCTCTTTTAGGGGTTTCTTGAGCTCAAGTGAGAGCCCTTCTGGTGCCACTAATGACCAAGCACTGTTGAAATAGGGAAGCTGTCTTAGCTGTCCTTTCTCTTGTACACAGTGCATTAACACCCCACATAGAACTAGCTTAACACACCCCATACTGTATATAGCACACTATACATCCACATTCTGATTGCTTTATCCAATTAAAAGGGGTTGCAGTGGAGCAACGGGCACAAGGCAGTATACCAGTCCATTGCAGGGCACACAAAGAGACACGTACACAGTACACACTCATACCAGGGTCAGGTTTCCCAGAATCCAATATCTGCCAGTATGTCTTTGGACTGGGGGAGGAAACCCACACAAACACTGGGAGAACCATACAAACTCTGTGCATTTAGCACCTCAGGAATTGGACCCAGGGCCTCAGAGCTGCAAGGCAGTGATGATAACCACTATGCCATTCTGCCCTATATTGCACACCATTATAGCTGTTCTTGGTGTTCATGATCCAACAACAGTGTGTGCTGAGAGTTCCCCGCTGTCTGGGGATGTGTGATAAGATACAATGCTAACCTACTCTTCATGACTGGGCATTCTGTGAGTTTTTGTAACTATCAATGCCAGATCTACTTGATGTGTTACACATGAGAATGGCAACAAAAAGCACACACACACACAAAAAACATTTTTACAAAAATTGTGCACTTGAATTGTTCTGGGATATATTTTGTGCGCTCGTGTGCAGTTAAGAGATTCCAGGTTATATTTCACTGCCAAATCATAAGGCAGCCATTTCCACTTGAGAGCTGCGAGACTTGAAATAAGATCCATTTTAGGCGAGAGGAGCACTAGGCTCTTTTACAAATTGTAGGAATGAAGACGAAAAGCAGATTTGAATCATTTCATGTTGAGAAGAGCCTGTGCTGGTTGACTCAACGCTGGGTGACGTTGCCACCCAGTGCCAGTGATTGGCAAGAGCTCACAGCTGGTGGTGAATTGGATTTCATTAAATATTCTGAATGGTCACGGCAAGAGCCCAAGCTGCCGTCTTTTGTAAAGATGCTGGTGGAACATCTGAGACCTCTTGTCTTTTGTCCTGGCAGAAGAATGGGGCAGAAGCTTTGGTGAGCATCGGGATTCAGCGGAAGGACTTTGTGCCGTTTCTTCTGAACTTCCTGCGGGAGCAGGCCTGCCACGTCCTGGCCAATGGTCCCTCCACGCCAGCCAAGACGCCCGGCCCGCAGGGCACCCGGACTCCCAGCTTCCTCGGCGACCGGCGGGGCTGCAGGGGGCCCTCAAAGGGAGCGTCCCGGGTGCAGCTGTTCTCCCCACCCCCCTGCGGCAGCCCCGCGGAGCAGGACCCTCCGGGAGCCCACTCCCTGAGTGGGATCAGTGCCCTGAGCAGCCCATCCTTCAGTTCGGGGTGGAGCCCCGCCCCGCGCCCCTCCGCGCCCGAGAGGCGGTCTGCCCAGCGCGCCAGTCTGGGAGACTTCCTGCTGTCGCCGCCGGAGCAGCAGCCCGCGCAGCGCCGCGGGCGCAGGAGGAGCGGGGGGGCGGGGCGCCCGGCGGGGCGGGGCCAGAGCGAGGAACAGGGGCGCTGGGATAGCCCGGTGGGCGGGGCTGGCAGGAAGAGTGGCGGCAGTAAGGCCGAGCCTCCTGTCTCTCCCCAGCTCAACCTCAACAACCTGGAGGACTTCCCTCCTGTTGGTGCCTCTCCTGCCTCCCCTGTGTGAGTCTCTTCTGTGCATTTAGATCAGCTTCCCAGGACAATCTCTTTAAATTCCCAAGCGACTGACTGATAAATGTAAGCGGTCATCTTTCTGGTGACAGTTTCCGGTTTTGTAGATGTAGGAAAGCTTTCAGGATGCAAGACTGAGAGTTTTTTAATGAGAGCTACTGTGTTAATAATCAAGTCTCAGGTCGTTTCAGGGTCTGTGGAGAATTTCACAGATATGCACTACTGTGTATGTTTTTGTTTAAAACATGCTGTAAAGTGGCTAATTTGAGTCCTATTCCTACATGATCCCAATATTCAATAGCTCTGAGAAGTGCTCGCTGACACACTTGATCTCAGTTTTTTAAGACGTTGTTAGCTTTACAGGTTTAGTAATTGGTTGAAATGACAAGTTACGACGCTGGGCAAGTGTTACACAGAACGCGTAGGAGCTTGTGAAAAGTGACATGAGAAGACCGTTTTACGTAGCGGAACCGTCTGTTCCCTTAATGATCGGTTGAGAGAATGATTGTGCTTCCTTTTCGCCTGTCCGCCCCCTCACAGACGGACAAAGCCATCTCGCCGGATCAACCCGACGCCAGTGAGCCAAGAGCGCCCGCTTTCCAAGCCAAAGAACTGCTTCACCTCCACACCTGTCAGCAAGCCGCCCAGCCCGCCTTCTATCCCAGAATCCCCCGGGGCCGCTCCACAGAGGGGTACCCCAAATGCGCTGCAGGAAGAGAGGGAGCTGCTGCGCAGAGAGAGGTACAGTGATGGACCGTCAGGCTCCCAGAGTGGAGAGAATGGTCACAGACAAGTGGTTTGGAGATTTTCTTCTTTGAGTTGAGATAAATGAGAGCAGCCTAATGACGAGTAATGCCATGTCCCAATTCCCGTACTGAACCCTAAGGTTCAGCACTTCTGTGACGTAGCACAGTTGTGCGCAAGTATTCGAGGGGGCGTCGTTATAAAAAGGGTAATGGGACACACCCGCGTGACAGCACTCTCTGGGTACACAGCTCAGGGGCCAAGTGCTGTCTGTTGTTGATGCTTCTTTTCCAGTAGCTAACCTTAGCCAAGTGCAGTTTCAAAGAATTTTTCATTCTCTGCCCATAGTTTGCTGAAATTGAATTTCATCTCGTCTGAACTTGCACATCATGCTCATTCATGTTGAGTGGGCTCGATACCGCTGTTTATTCTTAGCTTTGTACCACTAAATGCATTTCATGTCATCTGTCCCGGTACAAAAATGACAGTACGTGGAACATAACGTGTTCATCCATGTTCATTCAAAGTAAACTACATTATACTACTACAAGGTAAACTTGGCAGTACGTCAAAAAGCTTTGTACTATTAAATATTCCATGTACAAAATACACCACAGGTAAATTAATATTCATCAGTTGAAATGAGGTAACAAAATAAAAGCTTTATGTCAAAACCATGTACCAAGAATACATACAGCATGAATCTAAAGTAGCCTATGAAATTTTGTTTTTCCTTAAAGTATTACAAGTTTTTAAAGCTGTAAAAAAAGATAGATTTTACCAACGCTTGAATATTGTGTTCTCCATGGCAACTTCTCTCTGCTTTGATAGGCTACAATGTAATTCCCTTCAGCAGAGTCTGCTCGGACTTAAGGGAAGGGTGCATTGGGGGGTGCTTGTGAGCACCCTCATGAAACACAAATGTACAATTGGGACACCCTTAGCCCTTGCAGACTTGAGCGAGAATGCGCATATGAAGGGTGCAAGACTGCAAGTGTGCCTACTTGCAGTCTACAAGTGTGATACAAGTGTGATACTGTGTATCTTTTACACACCGTCTAATTTTCTTGTGATTTTTACTTATTGATCACATAAAAGAACACAGAGTAAAAATAGGCAAACTTTTGAAAAACCCATACTAGATAATCTTCCATTTCTTTTGAGAGAAAAGGGTGACCTTTTCTAAAAAAGATGTTGTGGAAAAATATTTTCTTGTTTCATTGAAGCCGTGGTTGCATTGAAACTTTTCAGTTTAGGTGGTCGTAACTGTGCACTTTTTAGTTTAGTGCCAGTTGAAATACAGGTCTAACATTCAGGCAAGTCGACTTGTCAAAGAGCACAATACTGAGCCAATATGGCTCTGATACAAACCAGTAATTACTTCATTGTGGGGCCCGATGCAGACGGTAACGTAGAATTTCTGTGGGATAATTGACCTCTTATGCTGTCTTGTTAACTTTAATTCTGTCTCGACGTGGTAAAACAAGATGTTATTTTCACTGTATGGCTAACTCCTATAATCTACTCTTTCTCTCTTGTCTCCCTCCACTTCTCTCCAGGTCCAAACTGGCTCAGCAGAATTTCTCCCCTGCCTCCCCTGTCCTGGATCCTTGTACCCCCACTAAGCCCGGGAGCAGAGCAAGTTCTCACATGCAGGCCGACCCCCTGGCCTCTTGTGCTGACCTCTGCAAAGTGACCTTCTCCAGTGAGCTGGACCTGCTGGCTCAGCTATACTGCACCTGTGTTGCTGGTATGAGGCTGGGAGGGTCTGTGGAGTTGGGGGGACATGGGGGCCTTGTGCAGTTTTCTTACCTTTGTATGAATAGAAGTCCTTTACAACCCGGGACTTACAGTCGAAATCGGAACTACCCTGGTACTGTGCTGTTTCTAGTGATGTTAGCAGTTTCCCAGCCAGTAGGTATACCTCCTTACACTGCAAGGAACCTGCAAAATAGTCTTAATTACTTGTTCACATTGAGTTACTGTCTTGGACTGTATTTTCAACATTGGCATTTTTAAATTGCACCATACGTAATAGGTATATTTGCCAGTGTTATTGAACTTTTTTAACTACAAAAACACCTATGAGATATATTGATGCTGTGCATCACCGTATCTGTAATCAATTGACTAAACCTCTAAAGTTGCTTTAAAAAAATGACTACAAGTCCTCTGTTTCTTGTCTGTTTTGCCATTCTTAATTTTGTAAAAGCGGGTATTTCAGCAGTTTTCTGTGATATTTTTGAAACACTGTTCGGATCAAGGATCAGGGGAATTTGTACATGAATGAATGAATTTGTAAGGAAACGTGTGGCTGCTTCCCCTGGAGTTGAATTGTCCAGCCCGGATGAGTGGAAACGAGCCTCAGCCCAGTGGCTGGAGTTCTTGCAGGCCTGGACACGCTGTGCTTTTCTGTGCAGAGAACCTGGTGCCCAGTGTGATCCTGGAGCTTTTCTTCGTGCTACAGCTGCTGACGTCTCGAGCTCCTCTCCCTGCCAAGGAAGGGAAGCTGTCCCTGGGTGAATCCGATGGTGAGCGCTCCATTTCTCCAACGAGCTCTGTGTTTTTTCCCTCGTTGCAGCCTTTAGCAGGACTGTAGTCGGTTAAATCCACTTCTCATTCTCATGTCCTTTGATTTAAAGGGGAACTGCAAGGCTGTTTTTCTGTTTCAGGCTTAGATAGAATCGGCAATGATGACTGCCTTTCAATCCAATTCTCGTATTCTTTTCAGATGTGCTGGATAGGCACTACCTTGGGACTCTGCACAACTGTGTCTTCTTCGCCGTCAGAGTCTTGGAAAATCAGTTTGAGTAAGCCTTCCTGGGACACGTGGGACAAGTGTAAGGTCTTCTAGGGATAATCAGAGACAAGGTGGAGGTTAAATAAGTGACTGAGCTCCTTTCCTAAGTCAGGAAATCTCTGTCTTGTCTGCCTGGGGAAAACAGATCTTAAGCAGAAACTGTTACAAATGCCACAAAGTAATTAAATGTTTAAATGACTAAGGAAGTTTTCTGTGTAATAATGGAATGTAAACTATTCACACAAAAAATCAGGGATTTCCACCTGTTGACTCAACAACAGAACTCAACTTTTGAAATAATGAAGGTTCCTTGTGATAATCCTCCCACTCTCTGAGCAGCTCATGGAACATATCTCTGAACAGAACAGGTCTCAACTGATAATCATGTCCACGCTCTGAATATCCACTGTGTACACCAAAAGAGCTTCTCAAACAGGTTCAAAAACAACATTCAATACATTTTCCTTCATCTATAGTGTTATACAGGGGCAGGGAGTAGAGAGAGGCTCAATCGCTAGTTTCATCTCACGATCTTAGTCTGTTGCATATCTAATTTGAAAGTTGCTTTTAACAACTTTCAGCTCTGTTTCATCTCACTCTGCTACTCTTAAACACAAGACCCAATCAGCCAGAACAAATCATCAAAGAAAATTTGCAAATGTTGCATTCATAGACATTGAGACCCTACTCTACTTCAACTAGTGTGGTTAGTCAAAGACTGCTAGTTAAAACATTGTTTAAAAGAGGATTTGCAAGTGCACTGGTACATAATAGCTACCCAATTCCAGTAAACTATAACCAAATCCAACTCAGATTCAACAACAGAACTCGGCTTTTGATATAATGAACTTTTATTTTATACAGTGCCTTTGAAAGTAGTCATCAAAAACACTTGACAATACATAAAAACATCATTTGACAGTATAATTCAAGAAACTTCCAAAACCAAGAAAACAAAGCATGTGGAAAACATAAAGCAGTTGGGACCTCACGTTGAACCATGTGACCATTCTTGTCCGCCGGTCTTGTTGAAGACACGAGAGGGTTAAGTGACTGGCTGGCTGTGTGCTATGTGCTGCAGGCTGATGTCGCACCTGGATCATGACACACTGCGACTGCTGGCGGAGAACGAGAGGGTGGCCTTGTTCTCGCCCGCCCTGCGGGACCGGCTGATGGATGCCCATGAGAACAGCACTGCCAAGGTGGGTGGGCTGGCCACTCCATCGGCGGCTCTGGAGAGCAGCTTCAGTAACATAAGAGTGGCTCTGAGGTGGAAACCGAGAGCACTGCAGTAGTGGGTTGTCTTGTACTTTTGTGCACTGTGCAGGGTCTGACAGATGCAGCATTGCACTGCACATGAGATAACAGAACATCAGGAGTGGAGGCCTTGTAAAAGGGCATTAAAAACCACGCCTTGACACAAAAGATTGTGGGGGGGGGTGTGTGGAACAAGCTACCCAGCCATGTTGTTGAAGCTGATAACCTGGCTTCTTTCAAGCAATGGTTGAATGTTCAGTTTAATGAGCCACTAACTATAGTACCTAATGGGCTCTATGTGCTTAATGGCCTCTTCGTGTTCATAACCTTTCTTATGCTCTCATGTTCTCATGCAGGTGTCCCCCACTCTGCTGCCTGTCATTCTGTCAGTCTCCTTCCAGCCTGACACTGACAACCGCTCCAATTTTCCTAACGAAAGGGCCTTCCATATCTTCAAGAAACAGAGGTAGGGGGCAGGAGTGGACTGGATGGAAATCTAGTGTCAACAGAAGTGTGGATTCATTCTTGGGGACACAAGTGACCTCTGTGGTGCTGCCTCAGCTGGGTGCGATGTCAGAGTTATCACAGAGTTAGTTGTGAATGGATTAGCATGTCAAGGCTGTGTTTGTTTAGGGCTCAGCCCTGATGGGATGGCTTTCAGAATGCTGTTATGCCTGCAACAGAAGAGTAGGCTAAGAGCCCACCAGCAAACTTGTTCCACCTGTTTGAGTATTATCCACAGCTGTTAAAAATGTATCAAACTTCACAGTGATAAAGCATGCAGCTGATTAAGTCAATACTTACATCAACCTAAATCTGAGATTTTGGTGAAATCGAAACTGTTGATTTTAGTGTAAGTACAAACCCAGTTCCCATTTAATGAAAAACATTGTTGTAAATCACATATTTGTTTTGTACATTACAGGTCTGATAAGCTGGTTAGTATTCCCTACAGTGTCTGAATTGGATTTGGTTATATTTTACTGGAATCCATAGCTATAATGTACCAGTGCACTTGCAAATCCTCTTTTAAACAATGTTTTAAGTAGAAGTCTTTGACTAACCACACTAGTTGTAGTAGAGTAGGGTCGTGATGTCCACGAATGTAACATTTGCAAATTTGCTTATTTGTGATATGTTCTGACTGATGGGGGTCTTGTGTTAAAAAGAAGCAGAGTGAGATGAAACTGAGCTGAAAGTTGTTAAGAGCAACTTTGAAATTAGACATGCAACAAACTAAGATTGTGAGACGAATCTAGCGATTGAGCCTCTCTCTACCCCCTGCCCCTGTATAGCACTATAGATGATGGAGAATGTATTGAATGTTGTTTTTGAACCTGTTTGAGAGGCTGTTCAGTATACACTGTGGATATTCAGTGTGTGGGCATGATTATCAGCTGTGACTTGTTGTGTTCAGGGATATTTTCTATGAGTTGCTGAGAGAGTGGGAAGATTATCACAAGGAACCAGAGTGGGAATTTGACCGAGTGCTGGGAAACAGAATCAGGTAAGAACTCCAGAAATAATTCAAAACATGTGAGGTGAAGACATGCTTATTGATTGATCACTAATCAAAATTGTGATGTAGGAATTTCCCTCTGTCTCCCAGTTCTACAAGTCTGTTAGTTTTAGTTTGATATTTTCTTATTATTCAGTAAGTCAGATAATAAAGTATGGCACTTTTCAGCTCACACTGAATAAAAATATGACAAAATAATAGTGTATTTTGCTTGATGGAATGGCCTCCTCATTTTGTAACCTTATTTTTTATGACTATACAGATCTAAATAAAAGTAAACAAAACCTGTTATATCAAGTGTCAGAATGGTTGATTTTTGTCTTCCTTTAATTAAGATGACGCATAAAGAAGAGGTCATTTTGCCCATCAAACCAATTTGTTAATTAAAGGATCTCATCCAGCTGTTTTCTTGAAAGAAGCCAGGATAGTGGCTTCAACAACATGGCTGGGTGGCTTGTTCCATACTCCCACCCCTGTGCACATAAAGAAGTGTCTCCTGTTCTTGGTTTTAAATGCACTTCCAATGCAGTCCAAAAGGCTATATTCCAATTCTAATGCATTGCAATTTTGCATTGGACTGTTTATTAAGAAGTTTTCAGTACAATGAAGGTCCCTGCAGCTGCTCATGTGGGCCAAGACTTTTTGTTCCTTGTGGGAGAAGAAAATACCCATCAAAGATGGCAAATGCCAGCCTTTCTTCCTCCAGATTAGCTCTACCGTGCTCTCTGTATGTGTGTCTCCTGCAGGGCTATGGTTAGTCAGCTGACTGCTGCTGGGAACCACAGCCATTTCGCCAGACTCTTCCAGAAGCAGCTCCTCCAGGTGGGTAGGATCAGGGCCCAGACCTGGTGGCGTTTGAGGAGAACATGTTTGTGCTTTGTGTGGCAAATGTTTTGGTGTGGTCCTCCATTCAGGCAGTGATAATGAACAGGCAACAGCACCACATACATTTTTGCTAGGTGTATATACAACATGCAGTAATAATTGCACTTTTCAACACTTGAAAGTTGTTCAGTGCAGCACTGCATGTAGTGCTAGGAGAAAACTGCTGTAAATGAATGCTTTGTTAGTAAAAATGTTGCTGAGGCTTATCAGTGGCTCTGGAGAAGATGGTATCATCTTTACAACAGTTTGCAGGAACTAGAATCCTGTTATCTTTATGCCAGTATTGTCCAGTGTTAGGCAAGTCCTACATGTTACTGGGATCTCTTTAATTCATTGCCTGTTAAATACGTGTGAAAGAAGGTAATGGCGATGAGAGAAGCAGGAACTCATGGATATCATGACTGTATATGACTGTGCCGTGCCTATTGAATTATGAGGAGATGCTTTTAATAGGTAAAAAAGAAATCTGGCTTTACACCTTTAAGGAATCACATTCTTTATAATTGCCCTTTTCTTTTATGCGACAGTGGTTTCATATCATTGTAGCGTAATTCATCAGAAGCAGAATGTTTTAACTGACCTTTAATTTGCTAAGTCTTCTTTACAGCCTTATAGTTCCACACATCACTTTATCACAGACAGTAAGACGTGATGTTTAATGGAAGGTGTTTTCCTCTTCTCTGTACCAGTAACTATGCCTGTTGATCACCCAGCAGTAGGGTTGGGTACTGCCTCTGGAACGTCCCGTGGCTTACCATCGTACACATGCATGTACCGCAGTATACCGCAAACTATTTTGAATGTTTTTATATGGAGACTCTCTCATTGTTTGATTTAATGATTAGTAAAGCATATTGAGTTGTATGCAAAATAAAGTAATGGAAATTATGTTGTTTTGTTGTTTTATTGGAACCAAAGAACTAGAAATAACACTGAAGAGTGTAACAGAACAACATGCAGATTTATACCCTTTATTAAATGATTAAATCTTTTTTCACAAGGTATTAGAGGTTAATTGCCGCCAGTGATACATTTGATTGTCATGTCACAGTGACGACAAACTTTGATATCTTCCTCAAATCTAGATTTATGTTTTTTCAGCCCAAAATCCTTTCATATGTCAGTTTTGGCCCTTGTGGTTTTGACGATCTCATACTTAGCCATTTTGTTTGATTGGGAATGCCCGTATCGATGAAAGTCAAGGTCGTCTTGAACCAATTGGCTGATATTATTTTAGCGTGATTTTGTTCTTTGAATCAAATTTGATTTTAGGAATGTAAACAGTAGAAAATCTTTCTTAAAATCTGAAAAATAAAACCGCTGATGGAAATTGCTGGAAATGACCGAGCGGACCAGTACAGTCTAAAACATACCATGTGACTAAAGAACTGCGGTCTACCGGTATACCAATTTTTACCGCACATCTCTACTCATCAGTAGTTAGCAGCTGGTTCTCTTATTGCTTTAGTTGTGCTGGAGCGACATGGCTCTTCTCTCTTCTCCCTGTAGATGTGTAAAGGTCCTCACCTTCCTGGGGCTGGTGACGAGGCCCCGGACGCAGACCTGCTGGGGATGCTGGGTGCAGACAACCTGAGCCGCCTGAAGAGACTTCAGGAACGCCTTATCCAGCCGCAGAGCATCATGGGACCCTGCCCTCCACCTTCATTCCCTGGGCATCAGGAGTTCTTCAGGGATTTCTTGCAGGCTGCAAGCAGGTAGGGCATGCACAGCTTTTCTGTTTCAGCAGAGCTCAGCACTCAAGAACTTTAGGACTCTTAGAGGCGACGCAGACAACGCAGGTGAAAATGCTCTGCAACAACAAAAAGGGAAAGTTTCCTTCAGGTCCATTCTTCCTTCTTACAGTATTACTTCACATCCAACTCATGGTGTAGGTCAGACAAATGAGCCACTTATGTTTAGAAATGTTCTTCACCCACCTCTTCATTTTTAACTCTTCATGTTTTTGGACACTTGCTTTAAAACTGTTTTTACCCATCATTCTAGTTTGGTGGTGTTATTTTTAAAATATTATTTTTGCTTTCCCTCTGCTCTTAGGCTGTAATTGCAGGCTTTCTGCTGCACTAAGGGCACGAATGAGACACTGTAGTGTCCTGTCTCCACTACAGATCTACCAAAGTGCAGCTGCAGATCTTTGTTCTGAGCAGAAGCCACTAAGCCTCAGCACCCTGGTTCTGTTTTTCTCTGCAGCTGCCAGCTGAACCAGCACTTGACAGACAGCCTTTGCCAACAGATTCTGGAGCTGGACTCTATTGCCATCCTGGGGCCTGGCTGTGCCAAGGATGAAGGGGAGGGAGACATGGAGCAGCAGGTGAGGACTGGGGAACACTTTAGATGGGAGGTGGTCTGCTGATCATAGGGCATAGATTGAGTCTTCAGGAAGATTAAAGCAGCTAGGATTTGCTTTTTCTTGATTCATCACTAATAGTTTATTTTAATTTAGTGGAGACACACCTTTAGCCTCATCAGTAAAAAGAGGCGATATGATGCATGGATCAGCACCCTGGCCTTTATTTTTTCTCTGCCAGAATGAGAAGCTTCGCTTCACTTCGGTGCTGATGACTACCCGTCTGTTGGCTAAATTTCTGGGCTTCATCACTTTCCTGCCGTATCAAACCGCAGAGACACCATCCAGAGAAATTCAGGAGTCAGCTGTGGCCATTCGCAACAAGGTATTCTACCAGTGCCAATTCTCTCACTGAAAGTATGGACTTGATTTCTTGACTAACTTAGTTTAAAATCATCTTAAATATGGATTGGCACATCAGAACTCCCTCTTCTAATACCTAAAACTGTGCTGTATATACCCAGGGTATAAATGGATTCTGTGTGCCAGTGTTGAAGCACGTGTGTGGTCTGTCAGCAGTGCGACAGTGTGTGACACTGTGTGTCTTTGCTCCAGAGTGCCCCTGTGCTGGATGTGTCCAGCGTGCTGAGACGCGCGGTGGAGAAGCAGCGCACTGTGCTCACAGTCCCCTGGCTGGTAGAGTTCCTGTCTATGGTGGACTACACTACCCCCTTCCTGCTCTACTACCGCGCCGTCTTCGCCATGCTGCTGCAGGTCTACAGGTGGGGAGAGGCGGGGAGGGCTCTGGACTTGTAGATTCAAGGTTGTGGGTTCGAATTCCAGCTGGGGCCCTGCTGTCATACTATTGATCGAGGTACTTACTCTGATTGCTTCAGGATCCAATGCTGCTACTTTGAATAAATAATTACGATGCACATACAAGCAAGAGTTGGGTGTGATCACATGGAGATTCTACGCTGATGCATACTATAAACCATAAAGGATGTCCCTTCTTGTAATATTTTCACCTATTATTCATAAAAGAAAGAAACCGCCAAGAAACATTTGTTCACTGTGACAGGGAACAGGAAGCACAATAGGTAAAACACCAGTTTGCTAAGGTGGGTGTCAAGTCAGGCAATACCTTTACAACACAGTACCGATAGTCAGAGTGTAATGCCGTGTCTGAGAAAACCGGCGATACGTATTGGGTAGGCATTTAATAAACACGTTAGATTTTTTTTTTATATTGGAAACTCTTCTTGATGTGAAAAGTTGGGGAGTCATAAACTATCTTTCTCTCTAGCTTTGCCGCTTTAAAGTTATGCTTTTCTTCTCATTTCTGAAGCTGTGCGTGCGGTTTTCTCATGAAGATGCTTTTATGAATATAGCCTGCAGCATCTACAGTACAAGACACGGGGAAAACGGACCAGGTTTCAAGGACTCGGAGACACACACAGATGCATACACAGCCTGCAGAGTGCTTCACAGATCGCAATCACTTTTCAGATGTAGTATGCTCTAAGGGGGAGGGGAGGGCTGTAAACATTTTTACTTTAATTTCACTAAAGATCTTTAACACTTGGAACAATATCTGCAGTGTGTATCATTTTCATGGCAGCGGTGGACAAATTCAAAGAGGCATGTTTTCCTGTTCTTGCAGGCAGATGGTCCTGGGACGCCATGGAGAGATGACCTACCTTAACCGGCTGCTGCTTGTGTCCGTGCTGGGCTGGCTGTTCCAGGTCAGAGGGCCGGGAGAGGGCCTTTGTGATAGACGGTCAGGATCACTCCTGAAGCCACTGTACTGCTACTGCAGATGTGTTAGAATGTCTGCATTCACTCTCTTTGTTTTAGATTCCAGCTTTTCCGGAAGAACTGTTCTTTGGCAGTGAATTTGAGGAGGGTCTGAAGACTATGGAAAGATCTGCTGCCTCTGAAGGACTGGTGAGGAAAACACTGCACTGCAGTCAGATACTGTTGCTTCAGTTGCTTGCACATTACTTAAGCCATGAGTCTCGAACCCTGGTCCTGGAGTGCCCAAGTCCAGCAGGTCTTATAGATACCCTTTTACATCATCAATTTTTACTGTCCTGGAACAGATTAACCGGTCAATTAAACACCTAAGTAAATTAAAAATCATTTAGAACGATAATCTATCTTTCAGACCTCGAGGACTAGTGTTCCCTTCATTGAAACGTTATTGATCAATCAAGCAAGGAACTTGACATTTAACTTAGGGTGACCTATGAGAAGAACTCTCCAACCAGCACCACACTCTGTCTTAGTCTTTATCAGCTAGTTGGTTTCTGTCACACCATCTGTTCTGGCCTCTGGTGTTTTATCCCTGTGTCATCCATGTCATTCAGCAGTGCTTTTTGTAATTTGTTCTGAGCAGCAATTAAAAATCCAAACTTCCATTTGAATAAGATTAAGATCACTTTATTGGCCATATAGAATTTATTTTATTAGGAATATGTATTTTTTCACATACCCCAACTTGCTCTCCATGAGACACACAGACAGGGAGAGACAGATCGTTAGCCACAGAGCCACTGCACTGCTGTATTTGTTCTTTAACAGATTGATCATCTGTAATCATTTGTACAGATGATCGAAGAAATGCTTAGAAAAAGATATCGGAGCACTGAAGTCAAACATAAGCAAAAAGAAGAATAAGAATAATGTTTCTGCTTTTTAACTCAGCAGCTTGATAATACAATCCTTTTAATAGCCAACGAGGGTGTGAGCTGAGCTGAAGACATATTTTTTGGTTTCCCACTGCAGGACTGCCTTAGCCTGGTGGACCAGCACCTGCTCTACACATGCTGCCCTTACCTTAGTGAGTATTCAGTGATCATGGCTATGGCTTTGGATGGATATCTGGGAGGTTGTGGGTTCAAATACCAGGTTGGGCACTACCGCTGTTAGCTTTAGGCGCAATACTTGACTTTATTGTTCAAGTGAAATGGCACAAAAGTAACTTTAAATGAAATTGTTTTGGACGTTTCTGGGTCAGAAGAGTGGTAGCACAGTGGTGCACTTGTTAGCATTGCTGCTTCATAGTGCTGGGGCCCTTGTTCAATTCCTGGGCTGTGTGGAGTTTGAATGTTCTCCCCAGGTTTGTGTGGGTTTTCTTTGGGTATTGACTAGTATTTTGACCTTCTGCAGCATTTACACTGTATAGGCAGATCTTGGCAAACTGATTGTCATTACCACTCATTGTGAATTAGCAACACAATACCTTTACGCATGGTATTTTCAACATTTAGAAAACCGTTCTAAAAAGAATGTGAAATTTGAACGTTGTTTAGCAAAAGCTTTTGTAATGTGTCTGATCTTTTCTGGGGTATATATTTAAAGTTTAAAAATGGGGATCTTGGATTTGTTGAGAGACTGTTGAGAGAAACTCTTCTCTTTTCTTGAAGACTATATGTGTACGTGCCCTGATGGCATTTTCTGTAGTGAAGGAATCCAAAACCTTGAACGTCACTGACTTTTAAAAAAATCCAGATTACTACCAGGCTGTGACAATTGATAGAGAATAGGAATTAATTTTTCGTTACATTGGCTAACTTGAATATTACATGTTTGGATCACAATAGGGGATCCTTATTTTAGCGTGCTGACCGATGGCCACCAGCTGTTATGCTCACACTGATTCTGTTTCTCCCTCCCAGGTGAATTTCGGAAACTGCTGGCTGCATTTGTAGCAGGAAGCACAGCAAAAAATGGGGGTATAATCCGTAAGATAACGCCCACTTCGGCTGAGCCCCAGCAGCCCCCTGTTCCTCTGTCACAGCAGAAACTGCAGGTGAACCTCCGTCTCTCCGAATCCTGCTCTTCCTGTATGGAGACAAATCTGCTTGGCTTGTGTTACTGTGCTGTGGTACAGTTCTGTCCCTTCATACTTTCCCTCACAAACCCAAACAACTGCGCTCACCCACAGCTCACTCTTGAATCCTCAGAGCTGGAACACGCTCCTTAGGTTCATTTAATAACTAATCATTTTCTGAACGAAGAAATACAGTAATCCTTTTCACCTACTTTCGCTGTTATAGAAAAAAGTACCACTCAGGAAGCTATAGTGAGGAAAATAGTTTTTTTTTGCTAGAGAAAGTCTAAGAGAGACTTCTTTCCACAGACTTGACCTGTGGCAATTACATCTCCACTATCCAAAGATTCATGCCCGAATCAGGCAAAAATATGAAACTCAGACTCAGTTCTAGTTACACAACAACACCTATACCAGTATCCATATAGGGAAAATAACATAATGATTGATGTCTTCTTTATTGGCTGCAAGACTCTTGGCAGTGGTGTGAATATAAACAGATGGTATTGATTACAGAGAGCACAGGGTTATTTACTGTAGCTGTGCCTTTAGCAGAGCACCTACTTTCTTTTGACTAGATAGTCAATACTCAAGTGTACAGAACCTCTATAGGACTCCAAATGGAAACATACAGGCAATATTTAGCACAAATGATTCTTGAATGGAAGATAATTTGGTAAACAAATAATTACTGTAAATTGCAAGCACATGGAATAATAAATAATAGAAATGCTCATTTACAGAAGCCTCAAACTTTCCACTTTAAAGGTCAAAGTGAAAGATATACAGTAGGCTGTAAACAGAAAAACATTCCACTGTTGGACCTTGGAATTAAGTATTTTATTGTTCTGTTTTTTAATCATCCTTAGAAATTATTTATTCGATGTAATATGTTTTCAAAATTTGTCAAAGCACTTCTGGTATAAATCACAGCCTGTCAGACTGCGTTTTGTGAGTGGTGATGTGCTGACGTTGTAAGTGCTGTTCTGTAGAGTTTGCGGCAGTAATCTGACTTTGTGAAAACCTGGGATAGAAATGATGCACCTGCCACAGGCTTATTGGAAGAGCTACAACCCTGAGATTAACATTTACTGGCATCAATACAATGAGACTGAAGACTTACACTCACTAAAAGAGAATATTCGTATATTTAACCAGTGATACTTTTATTGCAAGCCAGTTTCATTTAGTAACGGACACATTTAGTAAAAATTTTAAACCCAATTGCTTGATGTGCTCTGTTCCTCTGTGTTGATGTGGGTCGTTGTTCTGTGTTTGTGTGGTTTTGGTGGCTCGGGCACTGATGACCCTCCATGTGCTTGTCCACTCGGCCGTGTGTCCGGCTGTGTCCAGGCAGAGCTGGAGCAGGCCTTCTTCCACAACCAGCCCCCCTCTCTGCGCCGGACAGTGGAATTTGTGGCGGAGAGGGTGGGCTCCAACTGTGTCAAGCATATCAAGTGAGTTCAGCCTCTGTTTATCTCGCTCTTTACTCGACAGGCAGAACAAACACTGCAGATTCGGTTTTCCGCTCTTGGTGCGGACAATCAAAGAGTACTACAATCATGTTATACACAGCTTTACAGCAACAGCCTTCATCTAAAAAGTAATAGATGTTGCAACTTCACCGGATCCTGATTAAGCAAAACTCGACAAAAACAAGAGCTTCTAGTATCTTGGTTATAAGGCTTTTTTATTTACCAAGGTGAACCATGATTGATTTTAAATGTCGAAGTTGAGATTATTAAACATCGCATACCGCACAGAGAAAAGCAGAAGTATTGGGACAGTGGTGTGAAATTTGTCAGCTGTGTACTAATGACATTTCAGATTAAAAGATGAAACTGAGGAAGAGGTACAGAATTTCAGGTTTTGTCTTTAAAATGCGGTACACATTTTAATAATACACAGGAAAAGTGGCAAATTTCACTTCACTGTCCAGTATGTAAGCTTTTCACTGTACATCCCCATTCAATCGAAAAGCATGATAATTTAAGTGTTTTGAAAAAAGCCCCAATGAGAGTTAAATTAATTTCCCCATCAAAACTAAGATATCAAACACCAAAAGAACAAATAAAGAAATTAATCTTCAATTTGTAGATGGTAAAAAATGTATACTGCCACAAGGCATGATCCTGTTCAAAAAGGGGCTTTCTGACTAAATGGATTTTTTGTAGACTTCATGTTGATGACTAGAAAAACTGATGCTGCTCCTGATTTCCAAATTCTGAAACAAAATTAAGTGTTCTACTTTTTGAATTTTTTTTTCATTCACTGTGTTTCAGTCATTTTTAGAAAATAGACAAAATCTGCAAATAAACGGAAGATTCTTAACAAGAAGAGGTCATTTGACCAATCTAGCCTGTTTGGTAGTTAGTGGGTAAACGATCTAAGAATCTCATCCAGCCACTTTTTGAAAGAATCCAGGTTTATTGGCTTCAGCAGCATAGCTGGGTCTTAGTGTGTTCCATAGCGTTAAGATCCCTTCAACATAGACCTTGAAAATTTGCACAAGAGATAGTAGCTTGTAAAGCCTGGAATGGATCAAGCTGCACAATGGAATGATTCGAGATCCTTGCTGCTCATGTTTTGATCTGTTAGAGACCAGTGCTGCGGTCGGGCTTGTGCCCTGGTTGCTGACTTCTGTCTTGTCTTGGCTCATGCGCCCCAGGGCCACCCTAGTGTCGGAGCTGGTGCAGAGAGGAGAGGCCATGTTGAGAGAGGGGCTGAGTGAGGACCAGGCCAGTGTGCTGAAGCTCCGCGACTCCATCTGCACCCAGCTGTGTGAGAAGGGCAGGGTGGCGCTGGACTGTGGACGACAGTGAGTGTGCTCTCTAGGCTACATCTGCATCGGCAGGAGAGGCTGTACCTGCTTTTGCATGAGAGACATATTCACACCACGGAGTAAAGACGTTTATTTTAATTGCAATGATCTCTAATCCCACATATCAGTATGTAGCAGTCCTGTCGTAAAGGTATTACATTTTTTCCTTCATGTGTAAAATACCACAACTGTGACATCATAGCTGAATTGATTCTTCATTGACCTGCACAGAACTAGGGTCACCCTGGGCTACAGTTTTCATTTCCAGTGTGGGTGTTAATTATCTTAACAGACAGAGCGGTTTATCAATCAAGGTTTTACTGAAGTGTATCACATTCTAAAACTCATAAAATTCAGGTATTAAATTGTACTACTCCTTAATGTCTGTAGTTACAATATGTGCGTTCACAATGGATTTTTGTAACAGGAGTTTCTCTTTAAGAGGGCTATATACAGAGAACAGGATTTCCATTAATGTGAGATCCTGATATTGGAGATCTGCTGCCATCCAGAAACTGCCCTTGCTGTTAGTGCATGACTGAGGCTTTCACTCTGAGTGCAGGTGGTACTCAGCTCCTGCTATGTAGGGAAAGGATTGAACTGAGCTCTGGAAGGCTTGTACCGCTGGAAGCAGTGACACTGAACCTGCCCCCCTGTCCCTCAGATTTTGTGCAGCGAAAGGCCCTGAAGCCATCAGAGTGCTGCTCCCAGAAGAGACCTCGGCAGCGGTGAGTCTCTGTTGAAGAACATGTTCCTCTTCCGTGAGAGCAAAATCAGCTGGAAGGCTGTCACCTGAAACATTTCTAACGACGAGCCTGCTCCAGGAGGGAGTTAAATTAGACACTCTAGTTCCCCTCCCTTCAACAAGTACAATCAATCAGAATTGTATTAGTATGTGTACTGTATGCATGTAGTTTAAAGCATTGTGAAAACAGTAATGAAGCAAATTCAGTACTATACAGTGTACAGAATAGATAAGATAAAAGTTTATCATGATAAAATGCAGGGAATGCAGCAGGTGCATACCTCTCACGATTAGCCTCCTCTCTGTCTCTAATTGCACGAATCAAAGATTCAGTCTCGCCATTCATACGCGCCAAACTGGTCACTGTCAACATTTTCAGAATCCTGTTTTTTAACTCCCAATCAGGCACTTTTCTTGACTTGCCTTTTCCCTTCGTACTTATTTATATCCCTTTCGTACTTGTTTTTGGTTTACAAGCCATATTGAGGGTGATGCTGCGCGATAAAGAAGCACCCGAGTGCTACAGGCTCTGTAACTTGTTCTTGAAGCTGCACCAGATATGAATTTATGAAATTTTCTGCATTATTTTATTTGTTCGGCGCTGACCATGTATACACAAATTCACTTAAAAATAGTGACAAATGGGTTACGAAAATGGTGAAAATCAGGATTTGACCAAGTGGTTCAGTCAGTAAGTTAAATAATTATTCATAAGCCCCAACTTGTAAGTGTTTTCTCCAGAATATACCCAAGCGGTCGGTATAATTAGAGGCAGGTGATTTCTTTGTTCTCTGTCACAGCTTTGTTGAAAAGAGTAATAATACAGGCACAATTGGTTAAACACATATTTATTTGTAATTACAAGATACAAACTACAATACACCACAATAAAACATCCAACACACAAGTTATTTTGTGTACAGTATTTACAAACAAAACATTTCAGAGCCCTAACATTCTGGTCACCCAGAAAACCCTAGACTGCTACTAAGCATTAAACCCTCAATACCTACAGAGACCACGTAAGAGATAAGCTGCCTTCTCACTAAATATAATACAATCTGCATTTAAATCACTCACTCTGCACTCCGAATGCCACAAAATAAATGGAAGCCTATATTCCTATCCATAAAAATACACCCTAAGCAGGAAAGATGTTTCTAACTGAGGTATCCTTTACCAAGTTTCCTAAAAAGCAGAATAGCACACTCTCTCTTGCAAGATTGAAATACTTAGCTCCAGTCAGGTGTGGTTTGTATGAACATGAAGTAGAGACTCTCCCCTGGTGCAAGCTTCAAGTTCCAACTACTCCGGACTCTTGTCTCCTTGTTCCCTCCTTCTTGTTTCTTCTTTTCCCTCTTTTTTGTGCTCTTAATGTAATGTTATGTGGTGTGTGTTTGCACTGCTCCTTGATAATCATTAACCCACAACTTACCTACAGTACAGTAGGTATACAAAGGTCAACTTTACAATTGTTTCTGCTCAAGGGAGCCCCTAGACCTCAGCAAACATCCTCTCTGCTTTGAAGCTAGAAGTGTTTACTCTTCTAAGTGTAACAGACTTTATCTAAAATCCAAGAGACGCTTCTCAGTCACCTAAAGCTGTAACAATATTTTGCGTTAAAATGAGAGTCTACTGTATTTTCAGTTGTTGGTTCCAGTCCAATCACTGCCAGTGACAAAGTGCTGTAGAATAGCTTACACTTATTCAGTAATATATTGTGTCATGTAATACCTTCCCGTGGTGAATCTGTTGTATTAATAGCTTTAATTAAGCTGACAGTAACCCAATTTATGCAGGTTCTCCAGACATCCAAAGATATCACAGTGCGGCTGGCTACTGAGAAGGCCTGCAACTGGCTCTCCACTAACATAGCAGGTAATACAAACGAGAGACTCTTAAAGAATGAAGTGTTGCCCCTGGTGTAGCAGTGTAAGGTTGCCAAAAGTCCTGCACCACTCTGTTTCACAAGTCAATCTGATCTAGCAGGAAGACTTAAAATGTTGGCAGATGGAGGCTTTCATAGGTCAGCATCAAAGTTGATGCAAAAAGTTTCAAAATTTTTACGCCATGTTCCACAGAAAGCATATGTTGTGCTTTAAATCAAAAAGGCATAAATCCTCAGCCAACTCTGGTGCTTTTCACTGTGTTCTTTCTGCAGCACTATTCTCAAGCCTATCGGGAAAATCAGAAATAAGCTGAAGTACCCTTACAGTTTTTTTTTCAGGTTTCTGTGAGGTGCAGGGTCCCTACAATGGTGGACATTTTTTATGGTGGGGTGGCTTTTTTTTTAAACTGTGAGGTCTTTAGCTATCCCAAGCATTGATGGATACCTCCCCTGGATACAAGTAGTCCAGCAAGTATGAAAGCATCTCATCCTTTTTGGTTGTTTGTTTCAACATGTTGGATATTTGACAGAATCCAGTTTTAGCATCTCAATGTACATTGTTTTTAAACTGCCATTAATGTTTCTAGAAATTCATCATATGAACTTGGGTATGCAGCCAAAACGACAGACTGTCCAAGTACTTAGCTTTTAACTGTAAACTGAGAAAATTGTATTTTGTAAACCTTCGCCTTCTACTAGATTTGGAACGTCGGACATTGCACAGCAAAAGATTGTACTGTAGCTTTAGATTTACTTTTTGAAGAGCTGAGATCTCTCAATTTGCACAGGTACAAAAATCATTGTTTTTTTTTTTCCAGCTCTGATAAAGCGCGAGTTAAAAAGTGCTTTCGACCGGGTGACGAAGGCACAGTCCCTTTCCTCAGTGCCAGGAGAAGGAGATATGGGTGCTGTGAAGGAGCAGCTGCCCTCTGTAGTGAGTGAGACCGGGGCAACAGGGTCCAGATGCCCTGCAGGCTGCCAGCACACTGCCAGGCTGCCATCTGACCTCATCATTGAGATCAAGGTATTGCCCCATTCTTACCTCGTGAAGTGCTGGGGTTGGACACAGAGGGTGACAGACATCTAACAGCAATCCAGACAGACTAATAAATTAATTAAAAAATGCATCTGTTACTGTTCTAGCTGGGAACATTAAACATGGGATTTAAAAAATTCTAATAGGTATGTGTTTTATTTGTGGTTGTATTATTCCAATGCTTTAGCTTTAAGGAGACGCATAGTTGGCCTTACTATGAGAAAACTACAGTCGTCTACAGGATTACGCAAGCAGTGGGATGGGTTTTTTATGTGGCATATTGCCCAGTTGTTCTAGGAGTCCTCTTAATTGCTGTTGATTGGTGAGTGATGTGTGTCCATGTGCCTGCAGGAGGTGCTGAGCTTTGCATTCGGCCCGCGCACAGAGGAGGAGCAGGTGGGCTTCCTGCAGCTCTGGGATCTGCTCCTGGGGGTGAGGGAGGCGCTTCACTGCGGGAAGGTGAGTCTGTCACAGCCTGTACCGGCAGTACTGCCTGGGCACAGGGCTGGAGGGAGAGGCTATGCTGGGAGTACTATAATTTGTATGTGCTGAGTCCTGCCACGCTCACAACTAATAGAACTGAAAAAGATGATGATCAGCACTTCCATTACTACGGTCAGAAACTGAGATTTGCATGAGCATTTGCTGCAGGTCCTGAATGTCTCAGAAGGTTGTCAGCTCTGTTTTTTTATTTTAATTTTGAGATGCTCATTTTTATACACCTACATACACCTAAGGTGCAAGTAAATCTGTGCAGAATATAAATCTTTCAATGTCATGTGTGGCATTCCGATTGTGTGCCAGTTTTGAGACTTGAGAATGAAAGAAAGCGCTTGTTTTCCTCCAGTTTGTCTCTGCCGTCCCAGAACAGATGCTTGCCCGCTGCACAGTCCTGCTTGCCAGTAAGCTGGGTGAGTAAAAGTTTCTGTTCGGATCTGGAACAGCTTGTATGGTACACAGTGAAGCAGGAGTTTTTCCCACCATAAAATCTCGCAGGCTTTTTCCAGGTACAGTATGTTTGTGTCACCCTGATATGAGACCTCTTTACCCAGACATTGAGTTTAATTTTCAAGCTTAAGCTTTTGCTTTGGGGGAAGTCAGTTTTCACAGTTCTCCCGGTATTATAAAGCTGCATCTAAAATGCACAAAAGTGGACAAACTGGTATTTTGATAGGCTTGTCAATGGGAAGACTATGAGCAAGGATAAGCAACAGAGAACTCTCTTGAGATGGTTTACACTATCAAGGGGGTTTTTGTCAGACTGGACTATCTTAACCCTCCTACAAAAAAATGAAATCCTTTCCCAGATATTTTCAAGTTTAATATAAAAAACATCTGCATTAACATTTCTGTGTTGTAAATTAGGATTAAGTTGATGAAAGCATATAATTTACAAAATTACACTATCTGTGCCTGCATGCTCAGAGAATGAGCATGAGAACTTCAACAACGGTTTTGCAAATGTATTTCATTCCTGCACTCAAAAATCAATATATGTTTATTTATCAGGAGGACATATGCGTGTCATATTTCTATTACTGGTGCAGAGGTGGGCTACTGCCATAGTTTATATCTAACAATAGTACAGCTGATTAATATTTCATTTCACTCTAATTAATACAAAGTTTGGAAGCTAAACTGTAAATGTCTATAATATCAAGAATGTTTGTCTTTTTTGTGGACTGTGTATGAGATCATGTCTGGTTGCTGTTGATGCCACCAGTCTTGCATAGGGAATTCCTCCCTACTTTCTGACACAATTGTGATCTGGAGATATCCATTTTCTTAACAGTGTCTGGTGAGCTTCCCCTGAGATCCGCTGACCTTCCCGAGACTGTGTCCGAGCCTGAAGCTGACCCGGTGAAGGGCCTGCTGGAGCTCCTGCTCAACCTCTGGAGTCAGGACTTCTGCACACCAGCTCCCCTCCAGCTCCTGTTCACTGAGTACAACATGGCAGCCATCCTCAGGGCTGGAGACACTCAGGTAAGAGTAACTGAAACAGGGTGTCTAGGAAGTACAGCAGTGGGAGAGACTGGAAGAGGGTGACCAGGACGCTCTGCAGTAGGAGAGGCTGGAGAGGGTGACCAGGAGGCTTAGCAGTAGGAGAGCTTGAAAGAGGGTGATAGGAGGCTTGCCATTAGGGTGGTGCTGGAGGACAGGTGCCTCAAGATTTGCTTTTGGTGTCATAACAGAGATGAGATCAGATACATGTAAGGGTGAACTGAAGATGACCCCTCACAAATGAAGGGTTGCCAGTGGCAGTCCTAGTGACAAGTGCGTCTTGTACAGTAAGGATAAATAAATGTTTTTGGAATTGTTTCATGTAATTAATAACCGCAACACAATACAGTCAGCTAAACTTAAGACGGCAAGGCAGTGGTTGTTTAGGATTTTAAAGTGGAGGCACTTCTTCAGTGTATATGGAAACATATTGTTGCGGCTCTAGTTCTTCTTACATTACCAAGTTGTAGTAGTTGATTCTCTTTTACTTTCCAAATCTTAGGTCTTTAAGCTCCAAACAATAATTGTTTTTATTGTATTCATTAACTAGGCCACATGGCCTCCTTCTTGGGGGGAACTGGTCCAGCCTTCTTAATTTCTGTGAGATGGAGCAAACTATCCCAGAGGACTGCCCAATCCACAGACTCAACACAGCTAGACCAGAAGCTTGGATCAATTGGCTCTGGGACTGTGCATTTAATAAATAATAAATTCCTTGCAGTAACCTGGAGCCTCTCTCACAGATATAGGACAGCCCATCACAGGACATACACGCATGCAGATACACAAAGGGGCAATTCATAGAGCCACATGAACCTAGCATGTATGTCTGTAGAAAGTGGAATTATATTGGAATATACCCAAACTAACACATGGAGAAAAATTGCATATTCACAGTCTGGAATTAACAGCTCTGAGGCAGCTGCAGTTGCAATTGCAATTAAAATAGAATAACCTTAGGCAAGGTAAACTAATCTTGAGTTCATGCTATGCTACTGGTGCTGACTTGAGAGTATTAAGAAAGCTGTGTTGTCTTATCTGCTGCTAAAACAATACAATATAAAGATAAATTGACAAGTGGCTGTTTTGCAACAACCTCACTTTGAACCAGGGGTAACTAAAAGAGCCATGTTATCTGGGTGTTGATGAAAGGTGTAGATGAAAACAATTAATGACTGCTTGTTTGACAAAATTTGTTACTTGTATAGGGAAGAAAACATCACTTCTCTTCTATTCATTAATAGCTTTGTTGCAGTACAACTCTGATCTGGGCATTTTTTGTCTGTCTGCAGAGGAGCCACTTCCTGTTCCTCACTAAGCAGCTGCTGAAGAAGGGGCTGCTGGGACAGGAGGAGGTAGCTGCTTCCTGGAAGAGGCTGCTGGGACAGGAGGAAGAAGGTGTTTGCTGGAAGGAGCTGTCGGACTTGTCCTGCCCCACGGTGAGTCAGTGATGGACCCATCAAAGCTTTGAGAAGCCTTTTTCTAAAACAAGGTTGATAATGAGCTCTGAAGTTGCAGTAAGCATGCTAAGCAAAACCTGTACTGGGGAAACGTGATGCAGAGAACAGAAATTGCAACGCAGGTATTCAAAACTACTAATTTCAGCAAAGTAGAATCATCTTTATTATAATGTATTCTTTAACATTTCATACTGTCATTCTGATCTTTATGTTCTGTTGGTTGCGAAGTAAATAAGAAACAAATGGGTAAACTTCTGTGTTGTTCACACTAGTAAGAAAATGGACACTTGATATTTATTTAAAACTATGGACAGTGTCAAAAGCACATCCTTGTCTTCATATCTATGGTAAATATTTTGGCCTGGAGATTGGACCATAGCATTTAAAACAATTTTTAAATTTCTCTTCTGAATCTGATATAACAGTGTCAAAATGCTCAATTTCATAATGTTGCCTAGTATGTGCCCTTTTTAAGTAATGTTAAAAACAGTTTTTCAAACTATATAATTTTGATCCCATTTGCAAAACAATTACCATAAAAAGCTGTACCATGTACTTTTAAATTTACCTGGTTTTAAAACGCCTGTAGTCATTTTAACTGTCCATTTAACCAGATTCTGTTGTACTGTGTTTCAGGACTGTAAGGGAAAGCCAGAAGGAGTGTGTACTGGATCTTTGCTGCTAAGCCTCACACAGCAAAATCATGAAGATGCACTACAGAGCACAGATTGAACAGTAGGGGGCACCATTTACCAGAATAATTACAGCTTGGGTTTCACCCATGTACTAGGCTTGTGGTGTAAATGAGGAGAATCTCAGGACAACACCATAAAAGCCTCACAAGCAAATATAATTGAATATATGTTATAGCAACATATGTAATGTTGCAGCTCTATCATGTCACTTCAAACCAAAGTCAATGACAGTACACTAGACTTGTACAACTGTAAGATAAGGTAAAATGAAACTATTGCATTAGTCGTCAACATGCTTAAAATGTTCTTTACCATTTTCCTTTACAGTGTTGGCACATGTTGGATTTCTTTTATGGAGAATTTCCATCATTAGCACATGTTTGTTTAAAAGGGTTTTCTTATTTTTTAATCACACTTGACGTTGTGGTAGATGTGCATTTGGTGTTTTAATCCTGTTCTTTACTCTTTAGCATGACCGCATTCCTGTGCTGAGACTAACTTGCCAGGGAAGTTAAGGGTGTCTAAGAGGGTACAGGATACTTTCCAGAGACCCGCATTTCAGACGTATGAGTTTTGCTGGTACCTGCCGTAGCAAAGTATAGCACTGGTGCTGAGTTGGAGCACCTCTGTTTTGCCCTGGCTCTGAATACCTCCCAGTAAGCCGAAATCAGGCAAGGGGAGCCGAGAGACAGAGGGAAGGAGAGATGCTTTGTCTTGTACAGTTCCAGTGTCTGTTCTGCATGCCACGGTGTTCTTATCACAGGTATCATTTTTTAAAATAAGACTTAAATTAAAAATCCTACATTTTGGAAGGGGAACACTGTTTATAGAATGATCATTAATTCAGAATTAAAACTCATTAGTGTGGACAGTGTAAGTGATAACCACCCCAGTTCCACATATCAGCTGTTTCAGTTGGTGATCAGACTGCACTGGGCAGCAGGGAAGTGTTAGCTCAGTGAGTGAGTCCGCTGTGTTCTCTGTCTGCTGAGTCCCTCGCCTAGTCTGGCATCGTCTGGCTGTGAAAAAGCCTTACAGAAAGAAAAATGCCTTCTGTTCTGCTGCTTGTTTCATGAATGCCTTTTTATCACATTTGTGATTTCCTGTGGTTCATATTGGACTAAGTACTGTATACTTTATGTACTGATTTTAAGATGTTCACTTTTGAAACCATTGAATAAAAATAAAAAGGTAATGTTAAATGAGAAAAATGTTGTCCTTTTTTGAATGACCATACATACAATAAACATTTTATCAATCTGCATTGGGATCACACTACATTCTCCTCAAGTTCACTTTGAGTGTTTTCTTTATAGGTGCGCTACAAATTATACTTATCTGCCATTATCAAGCCAGGCTGAAAGCAGACAATTAGTTTTTGTCTCTGATTACCTTTCCCTCGGTAGATTTTAGCGAGAACTGCTTTTGTGACATTCTCTATGAGTATGGAAAACCTTCCTGAATGCATATGTGTGGACACACAGAACTCAAAACAAAACGTTACCTCTCAAGGGATTTCCTGAACTTCAAAGATCCCGGAGACACATGCTTTGCAGATTGCAAGAAATTAAGGATATATTAATGTAACTCAAAGCAATAAGTAGTTTCCTTTTTAATACTGTGCACAGAAACTTCTCTGCATTTTAAGGGTATTCAAGTCATCATGCACCAGAAAGAAAGACTCACCACCACTTAATGTGGTGGATCCCCTTTAAGCATGACTAAATTGCTGATGGACAAGATATGAAAAGCTGAGATTTATATATGATTGAAAAATCTCCTCCACTGTTTGAAACACCAGAGAGACAGATGTAAGAACATAAAAGCAGTTACAAACAAGAGGGGCCATTTGACCCAACTAGCCTGTTTGGTAGTAACAAGGATATCCAAGGATCTCATCCCGCCGCTTATTAAAAGAAGCCGGAGTATCAGTTTCAACAACATGGCTGAGAAGCTTGTTCCATACTCCTACAACTGCTTAGGTAAAGAATTGCCTCTTTTTTTCAGTTTTAAATGTGCTCCCACTTAGCTTCCCCTGGCAGTTCATTTCAAACTGACAATAGATATACTTCTGTACCTAAAGGATTGTACACAATAAGACTCGGGCAATTTTTGAGATCTGATGGGTGAGCTCTGGGGATACTGGCATTGTGTGTGTTTGAACAGATAATTAAATACAAGAGTCAGTACTAAGACATCTTCCACTCCTAGAGCTCTTCTCATGCCCATAAAAAGAAACTCCTTTAGGTGTCGCTGTACCCATGTGTATGCGATTTAAGGAATGCCACTGCTTATTGTTTTGGCACACTTACAGTATAGCCTTGACTTCACAGCTTCTCGGAAAACGCGACTTCCAGGCAGATAATAATACTGCTTCAGTGCTGACAGACTTACACAGGCAAAAAAAAACACAAGGGTACCGATGATCTGTCGGCTGTTTACCGTCTCATCCAGAAATCTGGTCTTGGAAGTGGTTTTGACAATCCCATGGTAGTTTGGCCACACACGCTTGTCAACAGCGATAGCTGAGAGTGTACATAGTACAGATGAGGAGGTAGCCGGGTTCCTCAAGTGTGTCCACTAGGAGCACTTAGTGACTTTCAGCGAGTCGTGTTAACAAAACACCGTACAAATCAAGGTTACCAGAGCCCCTCCTGTGAGGGACATAAATAATATCGCATCTGAAGTTCTCTTACTTGGTGACGGACGTCACAGCTTTTCTACTAGAGAGGTCTGCATTTTCAGTTAACATCAATACAATCCCTGGTTTATCATCAGCATTGGCATCAATAACATCCCATTCTGGTCAACGTCATTCACAGGGACTTGACACGTCTTGTTTTCGGTGCTCCGTGGAAGTTTTCTGACCCCAGCTTTGCTTGCTATTGACCAAGATCAATTTAACGAGCCTGGAGACCAAACAGGCTCCCTGTGGTCATGGGGGCAGATCAAACAACATGAAAACATGACTGTCTAGTTATGAAAACGATGGCATTTATGGCAGACGTAAAATGGGTACATTCTCATCTTTCATGCAGGTTCTTTGTTAAAAAAGTGGCTTTTCATGATAATTTTCATCCATCGGTTTGTATACGTCTTGAAATGGAGGCGCAGTATCACAAAAGCCACTCGAAATTATGCATTTGGATTACATGGAGGATGGACGCTGTAATGACTTGAGTGGCTACAAGAATGAAAAGCTGACGCTGAACTAGTGTCCGCCCGCCCCTTGCTCTCGGGGTTGCTGAACCTGAAAAACAAGCACTAAATGCGAATTGCAGAATTGGTATACTATACTTTATACACTATATCTGAGACTAATTGTGAAGTTTACTTTTTTCCACATAAACCATCGCATCTGAAAAATAATGAAGCGCATTTACGATCTTTATTTTTTCTTCCATGTATTTTAAGTCTGAAATAATATTACTGTAATAATGTAAGCAGTCCGATGAAAACGAAGTTGTAAACTCTGTGCGCCAGTACAGTGTTAGTAGGCGCCTCCCGGCCCCACCTCAGCTCCGGCTCCCTCCCGCGGGGGCGACTCCCCTCCCCGCAGGAAGTGGCTGCAGATCGTCCCGTACTCAGTCGCAGGAACCGCGGAGCCTCGCTGCGGCGAAAATGACATGAGAGGCTGGGGGCGAGAGCCTCTGAGCCCCGGCAACTTCTTCGCTTCTTGCTCTAACGCGAATTTCCACCGACTCTCCAGCAGCCGTGCTGGCCGGGCTCCCTCGCACCATGGCCAACGTAAAAGTGGCCATTCGGGTCCGGCCCCTCAGCACAAGGTAGGCGAGAAAGTAGCCCTTCTTATAAAAGTTTTGGGACGTTAAGGGAATTTTGAAATTACGTTACTTATCTCTGCAATATTTATTAACTTAGTTTTGTAGTGTTCACTTACGTATATTTACAAAGAGACATGCATTGATACTGTGTTGATAAAAACAAACTAAAACTAGTGTAAACATTACACTGGGCGCATCTTTGTAGCAACCGTGGAAGTAATCTCAATACATTCAATCGAAAGAAAATGTTTTTGTTAAGGGTGTGGGATGACTACTTTGACTTTCGTGTGGAGGCTGGATAGGTGATATTAAATAATTATCTTGGTTTCTGGTTGTGGTATGTGGCTTATGCGCGTTGCACGTAACTGTCACGGTATATAAAGATACAAAACCATAGGATCGCGGTACGCACTGTTGCTCGAAAACCAAATGCTTTTTTGTAATGCGAACTAAACAGTGGTATGCAGTGAACTCTAAAGATTGGTTTTGTGAGTTTCAGACCACTCAGCGCTGAGATTTGGTGTTGTTAACATGTCAGCGTCTTCTTTTTGGTTCCTATGTTCTTTGAGCGGAAAGGCAGTTGGTGCCTGGCTGCGGTTTTCAGTGCAGTATCCAAGCTTTCTCGGGCACGGTAAACAGCAAAACTATACGAGTGTGATAGTGATGATGTCTAATGAAGCTATTTCGGTGTACTGTTCACTGCAGTAGCCCGAGTAGTCTCTTGCAAGAGCGGACCTGTTTTCTAGGCAACAAGTTTACAATTCCCACACTTAGCAACGCAGACAGGGCTCTGTAGGGACTACTGAAAAGTTAGTTTCTTTTGAGTCTTGAGTAACAACTCCTCAGCGCAGTCGTGTAGTCGCTTGTTAAATATTTTATTTTCTTGCTTAATTTAACAAATCTGTATTATTTTATTATGGTATAGTTTTCTGTCCACTTGCCTCTGATAAAGACTGGATCACTGTTTTGGAACACACTGAGATGTGTTTTACAGTTTAAAATACAGTATGTAGCAACATCTATGCATGTGAAGGCCCAGCTGGCAGTACTCCAGTAAGAAGAGTAGTGAAGAAGAGATGAATATGGCTGGCATCAATTAGGGGAAATTACTTCTGCATGTTAGGTATAATTTCATTGGAGCTGGAACACTGAAGGCAGGTTGGGTGGTGGAAACACCATTAAATGCCTTTGTGTGGCTTTCTGTGCAGATAAATTGTTAGAGATAAAGCATAGCACTGATTTGCATGACAAAGTCTGACATAATTTACTGTTAGTGTTATGCAAATGTGAGACGTGGCCGTTCTTGTCTGGACTGCTCTGCCTACCTGCTGGGCCGAAAGAGGGCACATAACTGGATTCTCCCAGTTCCGTGCCTGGTGACAGTGTAACACATGTAGAAGGGCAACCCTCACACGCAGGGGAGAAGTAAATCACAGCACTTCCTGTGAGCTGCTAGGAGC